GCCGTCTGTGCTGTCATGGTCGCTCAGGTCGCTGCCAGACCACAGCTCCATATGTCTCCTTTTTTGGTATTTTCACACAAATTCTTCTGCTAGTTGGGGTTTAGTCTACTTCTGTATTCTTCCCTTCAAGGCTCAGGGGTCCAAGATTATCTTTTGTGTCTGTGTTAATTGGTTTCTCTTTTCTTCTTTGAAGAGGGTCTGTGCAGTTTTTCTGCCTAGTCCGCCATCTTGCTGGAACTCCTGAATGTGGTTTTTCCATTGGATGAGGCAGGGTAGAGGTGGAAAGGAAGAAAAGAGAGAACAAAGAAAAGGTCCAAGGTACCAGGAGCGGTTTCTAGGGCTTTGAGTGGGCTGCTAATGATGACATTATACTGTTACTCACTGGCCCGCAGCTCAAGTGCAGCAAAGATTCGGTTAGGGGGCTGCCACTTTCTGCCAGATTCAGACAGCGCAAAAACCTCACTCTCCAGGCCCCTCTGTGCCAAAAAGCTGACCTAGGATAACTGTCTGGATCTGTGATGGGAGTTCATCCCAGGGCCCGCCCACTTCTGACTTTATTTTCCTCTCTGTTCCCACACTTCTGTAGTACCCAGAGCCAGAGAAATCTCAGCTCCCTCCCATAGGTCCCAAGTTTACTGATAAAAGCAGGTGCTGATGGTAGATCTGTGGAATGGCCACAGGTTCTCTGCTGTGGTGAGTTCTGTCCACTGTCCCAGGGAGGTCTCCGATGCCTTTTCTCTCCTGCCACTTGGTGCTCCCCTAGCGAGGTCTCCTATGCCCTTTCTCACTTCATCACTATTGTTTTAAAATAAATATAATACCCTCTCTCCTCCTCAATACACACAAACACACACACACACACACACATACACTTCCAACATTTTCTTGGAGTAAGTTTATACTTAAGCTAATATGTAAACTGCTCCTTGAAGACTAAGATGTGCCTGACCCAAGCCATCACGGTTTCAGTCACTTCATATGGGTGTGAGAGCTGGACAACGAATAAGGAAGAATGAAGAAAAGTTGATGCTTTTGAGTTGTGGTGTTGGCAAAGAATGCTGAAAGTACAGTGGGCTGCTAAAAGAACTAACAAATCTGCCTGGAAGAAGTGCAACCAGAATGGCCAGACATCATCTCACCTACTTTGGTCATGTTGTCAAAAGGGACCATTCTCTGGAGAAGAATGTCATGCTTGGTAAGGTGGAGGGCAATGAAAGAGGTGAAGGCTCTCAATGAGATGGACTGACATGAAGACTGCAGTGATGGGCTCAAGTATAGTAAGGATTGTAAGGCTGGCACATCACTGGGCAATATTTCATTCTGTTGTACATAGGGTCACTATGAGTTGGAGACAACTCGACAGCACATAACAACAACAACAATATGTAAACTGATTTTCATTCTCTGAGCCACACTCACTGAAAAGGAGGGGGTTGGGCTTTGTCTGGATGCAGAAGAAAGGCAGGATGAAATTTTGCTGTATATAAGCCATGAGTAATAATCACACTCATGTATGAGTGTGATTATTACTCATGGCTTATATACAGCAAAATTTCATCCTGCCTTTCTTATATGGGAGCTCTGGTAGCATAGTGGCTAAGGCATTTGACTGCTAACCAGAAGGCTGGCAGTTCAA